AGAAGACACTATCACATATTATAAACCAAGCACATTATAGCCCACTGAAGTTTAAAATAACATAGTAAAAACGAAGCACAATATAAACCAGAATACATTTTTTAGTAAGTAACTACTAAAGTGTGTTGTGTTTTGTTATTTACAAATTTATTGGCTTTCTAGTTTCTTGCTAATGTTTTAGAAGTCAATTTCAATATTTATATATATCCTCAAATTATGTAAATATTATAACCAAATCTCCATAAGAGCTTTTGTGGATTTATAACTGGAAACAGCAAAAAATGAGATATAATAACTAACTAACTATAATATACTAACGCATGAGATGGATGTGTAGAGTGATGGATAGAGATTTGTTGAGATAGCGTATTAGATTGGTCGATCCCATTCGTGTGCAATAAGGCGACAAAGGATATTATAAGAAGACTAACGAAAACTTACAAATGTTAGAAGAGCTTGAAAACGGGATATATTATTATTTACTTAACAGAGATCTTATTAAATACTTTTTTTATGAAGTTAAGAGGGTGTCGCACCGGTAATTTTCATTGGTAAAAATATGTTTTAGCAGACTGAAAATAACTCGCTAAATTTTGGTTTTAGAGTAAAAGCACCCATTATGAAATTAAAAGCAAACAATATTCCGCAGGGCACCACGGTGCGTTTTTTTAAAAAAGTTACAGTCATTTAAAATTTTTAAAATATTCGTTATTTCTAAACGATGTATTGAGCGTTAGACTTGGAATAATGAAAAAACTGCACTGTGGTGCCCTTCGGAAGATTGTTTTCTTTTAATTTTATAATGGGTGCTTTTACTCTAAAACCAAAATTAAGTGAGTTTTTTTCAGTCTGCTTAAACATGTACAGATGAAAACAATTTTTTAAATCGCTTTCAAGGATGCTGTGATAGTCCGAAAAATAAATCAACTAGCAAAATAGAGTCCTAGTTATTGAACTAATAATTACACATCACAGTTTAACCTTTAAATTAAGATTTTGTGAAAAATTGCCTAAACTTTACTCTTTAAAAATAGGCGGTGTGACGCCCTCTTAATTTAATATATTTTTGTTAATATCCTTTGACACATAGAACATTTGACTAATTCTTTTTTCAATAAATTATTGCTGGCTTCTTAGATTTAAAATTGCATATTATAACGTACTGGTTAAACACTGCAACAGCATTTATTTATGGTACATTTTATTTGTTTTGTACCTAAATACGAATACAACTAATTTATGTTAATATTATTTAAACTATCTACTTCTCAAATGGAAATATGATTTTAATTAAATAAATAAAGTCAGCACAGTAGGGTTGAGAGGTTGCTGGGTTTAAGGATTTTTTTTTTGTCACTGTATGTTATAAAATCACTTTAAAAAAAAAACGATTCAATGGTTATCTCTAGATGATAAAGTATACTATAAAAGTCATATAAGAAGATGCAAGAAAGGTCTAGTAATAAATGAGGAGAAAACAAAAGTAATTGAAGCGTTGGCGCAAGTAGGGAAGACCTTACGGTGGAGAACTAGTTGTTCGAGAAAGCCCAGCAATTCAGATATTTAGGAATAACAATCACTGGCAACAATGACTGAAGTGCTGAAGTAGCCAATCGCTTGCGGAAAGGACTTTTTTCGCACTAATTATACACTTCAAATCAAAACTATTCTCTAGAGGAACAATAATACGCCTATACATGATTATTGTAAGACCAACATTAACCTATGGATGTGAAGCGTGGCCGATGACAGCTCAAATTGAACAAAATCTAAGAAGCTTTGAGAATAAAGTACTAAGAACAATATGTGGACCCGAGTTCGATACCGCAATAAATAGATGGCGCGTAGAAGGATAAACGCGGAATTAAGAGAAAATACCAAAGTGCCTTAAATAACAAGCTACGCGAAGGGGCAGAGAATTCAATGGTTGGACACACAATGAAAAGAGAAGAAACAAATGAAATTAGGGCGTCAGTTGAATACAAACCAATAGCAAGAAGACCCGGAGACAGGCCAAAAAACGATGGATGGATGGAGTGCGTCAAGATCTGAAGAGATGAGAAGTAACGGATTGGGAGGATCGTGATTATTGGAGGACAGTGACAGTGGCAGCCAAAACTCTTGCAGGGTTGTGAGGCTACATGAAGAAGAAGAACAACAACAACAATAAGGTAGACATCAAAATAGACAATAGAATAAAAACACGCCGTTGTAAAAACAATACCTCTCAGCTTTGCGTCAAACCGAGTATTTAACATACATTAATTATAGGTATATGATATTGTTCTCATAAAACTTCTCTAGATACAGTCCGTCATACTAGAATCTATATAATTCATTTTAGAACAAAAAATAAACTAAATAGTAGGTGTATAAGTAAAACGGTGAACGGTCTTACAGTATCGAGCACAGAGCACCGTGGCTTTTTATTGCGTTGCTCTTATTTGTTAAAGCTAAAAAAAAAACGGCCATAGCGATGCATCTTGCTGGCAAATTCGGTAATTTCAAAGGGCAAAAGAACAAAAAACAAATAAAGGATACTCACGCACAGTGCCAGAGTAATTCGACGTATTTCCCTGCATCGTATCCGGTTTTTGTAGCCAAGAGAAATATCTCCCGGCGGGGCCACAACCGACGAGACGAATGCCCCAGGTCCATTTTTATCCACTTGTGTAGAAAAACAAGGTAGCGTAGTTCAGTAGAATGCGAAAAAAGGAATATAAAAATCTACACTGTTTTTTTTCTCCTGCTCCTTGTTGTTTTTGGCTCCCATTTCGGGTGGATATTAAAGCCATTTTATGCTCTCGGCAAGACAGCAGCAGGTATACACACAATACTCCGGGTCTAATAGAATATTAATAATTGAGTCGGTTCGGTTGGCGAACATTACAATGGCGCATATATATTTTTTCTTGTTTCCCTGCACAGCTCGCTCCGCAAATGCCTTATACCCGATTGCTTCGAATTTATTCTTTCGGTGTTTTTTATAGGCCAAAATTATAATACCACGCGGATGTCGTAAATCTCAAAGGGCTTGCGCCAAGAGTAGATTGCCCTGGGAATCGTAAAGGCCGTCTTATACACGGGTCGCACGTTTGTTCAATTGTTCCTTGAAATTCCTAGTCGGACGCGACCGTTATTATATTTAACTTTATGTTTAGAGATACTACATACACCTATTCACTACTCTGTTGTGATAGATTCAACAACTGTTCGGCGATACTAACTAAATAAAAAAAAGAGTTCAACTTTTAGGTATAAGGTGCCCGTAAAATATAAAACAACACATTTAAGTGATTTCTCTTCGGCCAATCGGTCCATTAAGGAACATTTGTATTTTATTTTATTTGTAATTATCAATATTTCATGATTTATCTAAATATGATCCACCTACGATTTTTTGGACAACATTTAAATTAAAGTAGAAATTATTATAAAATATATTACTGTTTAACAATAAAATATTTTTAAATATATTAATACTGTTGCGGTATTCTATGTACTATGATTAATATAATAATGTATTTATAGTCAGTTTGCTCAATATATAAAAAAAAATGTTTAGTGCTTTTCATGATTCATTACATCTAGGTCAAGAAAAACGTTATGTCAATTTAAACCTGAACATTTTGGCTATGTTACACTTGTAAATAATAGTTCGTTGCAAATATTAAAAAATTAAAGTGCTATTAACCTTGTTTTTACACTGGGACATTCTCCTTCCTAACTGATATTTAAATTTTTGTATCGTAGCTGCACAGGCGCAAATCTATCTTCAAGGAGCTTAAAGCCACACAAAATGCATACATTTTTATGTATGCATCATAAACTTTTACCCATAATACAATGGACATCTTAACCTTAACCACGAAGCAGATAATAGTATAATATAGTATTTAACATTTATATAATTACAATCAAATAATTATAATGCATAAACTATGTTTAACATTTTTATATTTACAAATTTGTATATTTCTTGGTTATTTCTATAACTTAATACATTCAACAGACCTTTACCTGTCGACAGTTATTTATTCAAACTCGGTTGCTTCCAAACGATAAATATTCTCACTTCTTGTCTACTGTCTTATTCTGATTTCTATTCTACACCTAATATATTTCGTTTTGAATGAAACTCAATTGAACATCGTACCTGTTGGCTTGTTTTTTTTTTTAGTTCGATAAAAAAAAATTATGCTGTAACATAATGTGCGCGGCTTTTTTGCGATCGATATTTTCCCAGGCCGCGCAGTACACCACTATGATGATGTATTAGGTATATAATTATTATTATCTATACGACAATATGGGTCTGGCAAAATTATCTCGCGTGCATTACGGCAATAACGATGAAAAATAATGACAATTAATTTTTGCGGTTTCGAGCATTACGGTGCGAGGGCAACAGTTGTGTTGTTATCTTATCACCGCTTTGGAAAAACCGATAAATTCTCATTACACCGCGAACGCCGTGTAGTTAAAACTGGCGGGCTTTTATATTATTATGTGCGGGCACATAATAATGCACGCCGACGATGAGACGGCAAGGCACGGAGAGAAAGTTCTGGTAAAAGTCGGGCCGCAGTTAATTAGAACGCACCGACAGTGCACGCGGAAACGAGAGAGATCGGCGCGCGGCAGTTAGCCGTGTTCCCGCGATCGTCGGGCGCGGCGGACGGCGGGTGGCCCCGGGGGTAGTTAAGTTTAAAACACCCATCAGTGTGTATTATGCGCGAGCGAGCCGAAATTATATTTACGTTTTAACCCCTACGCGGCGTAGCGGGCGCATGCGCCGCGCCGGTATAGCACATTTACTGTACGCGGTAATGCCGCCGCGGCGGTCGTTCGCGGTGATTTTCCACACGGCGAGGGCAGGCGAACGACAATGGCGTCGGCGGCGCAAGCGCGTCCTGCCCTTTGGCTCTGCCGGCGTACAAAAGGATCCTGCCCACGGGACGTACCGGTGCCGATGATCGCAGTGCCGCCGCATTCGAACCGTCGGCGATACGCCCTCACCGCGGCGCACACAGTGTACTGCCGATCGTTGGTACCATAGGTCACGTGGCGGTCCTGCGAGTCTATCCCGTTTCGCGCGTATTATCGTTTTTGTCGGCACACATTTTTTCCCTCCCGACGACAAAACTATATAATAGTTCATCACGACAACCATTATGATGGCATACGGATGACGAGAACCGCGAACGAAACGCGGCGCACACGTATTTTTTTTTAAATAACACATAACACAGTTTACCGGCGAATCGCAAAGGAAAAACATATTTTAACTATATAATCGGGCATCGCGGACAAACAACAAGCGAATGGTATGATGACCATGATGTACGGTTCGGAAAAAATGATGGCCGGCAAACCGCCGCTGCCGATTACGGCCACGGGACCGTGTTTCCCTGGAAGGTACTCACCGACTTACCGGAATTCCACCGATCCCATGCGAAGATGTATGACCAACCCTTCGGTAAGATCCCGCAATTATTACTCGAATTCACCTAAGTATATTACCACATAATAGTCTAGAGACAATACTACTTACATTTATAAAGAATATCATAAGCAGTCATATAAAGTATAATGTAGTCGCACGTACACATATAATATATATATATATATATATATATAGTTTTTCATAAAATATAACACCCTTTGCTATACGAGTATAATGATAAATAACCTATACTGAACATAATATATACTGTAGGAATATATTTTAGCATAAAACACCATAAAATCCATGGGTTATATAATAAATTATATACTTTCCTGTACGTTATTAGACCACAATATCTATATTAAATTAACTACAAGGGCCATAAATAATGTTTTCTAAGCGTTTGAATGCTTTTGCATTCACCAATTAAGTACTAAAATGTTTAGTGATTGGTGTAAAAATAAAACAAATTAAAGCATTCGTTTGTTTTTCTCTATAAGCTTAGCCCCCCAAATATATTCCTTGTTGACTTGAATATCAGTTAAATTTGATTATTTTGTCAATTGAAAAGTAATGATTAATGAACGTTATTTCAACTCAAAATGTATTTTCAAGTAAAATTATTATAGATTATGTGTTAAAATATTGACGAAAAAAATATATTTTTAGACTTGAATCATAGGTTTTATATTTAGTATTCTGTTCAATTGGTTTTATCGCTTTGTAAGTATAAAGTTGACAATGAAATGTTTTTTTTGTTATTCTCATGTTACAGGTAAAATAATTTATATAAGTAATTAATGTTAAAAAATGTGTGATGAGAGCGGTCCCCGTGGGTTATTTTTAGACCACAATTTTGGCTGTAGTCTCCTAAAATTTTAACCCTAGTTCCGCCAATAATTCCAAACTTCATTCTAAAAAAAAAAAATTCGGTTCAAACTATTTTAAAATAATGTATATTATTGTTTTTTTTTATTGTTTAGAAAAATCCTCTCCTAGTTTTTTGCGTTTTCTGAAAAATGTGATTTTTGGATCTTGTGAGTTTTGATTCTAGCCTACTCATATAATATTAACATACAACCATTTGAATTTCCAAAGGTATTCAAGTAATTTTCATTTCAAAAAAATGTTCGTAATTTTTTTTTAAACTTATAAAAGTTTTATTATTACTTGTAACAACGACGAATTACAGCTAGATTTAAAATAAATTAAGTCATATTTTCCGTAGTAGATAATAAATAAGATTTTACTGCATGAAATATCAATTCATTTTTTTTTTTTTTATACATATAAAGCGAACAAAAATATTTTAGCATCACTTTTCATATAAACGTCGCTTGCTTCAGTTATTATCATCTTTATTGTCATTTTGAATTTCAACGGTTTTCGGTTTTTTTACTGTCACCTTAAAATTTAAAAACAACGAATTATTTTCGCGTAAAAATTAACATAAATTTAAGTAACCGATACATCAGTGGGTTCAGCTTGGTTTGGTTGTGAAACTGGAACGCTGTCTTTATCCGCATCGGTGGGACTTTTAATTTCCACCTTGGCAGCGACATCTACGACCATTTCATTACTCGGCTCTAACTCTTTCAACCTGTTTGTTATGATCATGTTTTCCTGTTGTAAAGTAAATATCCGCTGTGTTACCGCCTCGAATTCTTCTTTCAACTTGGCCAACTCCACTCTCTCTGATATAATTTCAGTCATATGAGTTCTCATGAATCTAGGTAAATGTAAAGAATAAAAACTCTTATTGACTTTAGAAATATCTCTAGGCACTATATATGTTTTTTCATAAATAACGATAACGGTGGCTCTATCACATTATTTGTTTAAGTATTATTTTTTGTTTTAATTCAATATTTTACTCGAGTGGATCAACTGGTTTTTCTTCCATTTCGTACAACTGTACTAACACGTTGGTCAACGCTGTAAGAACACCAGCCGTTTCCAAATAACTTCTAAACTCTTCGCGTTTTACATCCAAAGGCTGAAATTATAAATAAAATAACACACCCGTTAATTTTTAGACGGTCCGAAAAGCAATATTGCAGATATCTACTACACTATAGGTACAATGTTTTACAATGAAAATAGGTTATATCAAAATTGACGGGGAAAACATTTGTTTGTCGCAAGCAAACTAGTTTTTACTAGTTTTTTGTCATCGATCATAGTTGCATTTATTAAAAAAACCTAAATGTGTTTAAATAGTACTTACTTTTTGGCTTTGAGTATCCGACATTGCGTACTATGATGTTATAACGATTTTCGAACCAAATAAATTAGATAATTGTATATTTGTATGAAATTATGTTGAGTCGTTATACACTTAATACTTATGTACTATTTCATAATATTTGTTTACAAATACAAATCCAAGGCGACTGTGATTAACTATAGACTTGTATATACGTTGCATTTTCGGTAACAATTGGTATAGATAAATAATTAAATTAACCATTCTCTTTGATTGATTTTAAATCGACTCTCTCTGGTGTTTGATATACTTTTAAGAAATGTAACGTGATATGTGTGCGATTTGTCTTGAGAGAGCAAAGATAAGTTAAACGAGTATTTCATCTCGGTGGCAAATAGCGGTTGTACGTAAGTATAGTGACGTGTATAAAGGCATGGGAAAAGTTTGTATTTATTTGTTAACTTTTCTTGCAACTCGTTTATCGATTTAAACCCTACACACTTTAGTGTAGCACACAAAACATCAACAGCCGTATCATACCAAGTATATATATATCTATAATATATTGTATACGAACCACAAGTTCACTGCAGTAACTTGGGCATACAACTTTTATAAATATAGCAATAAGTGATAAAACATTTTTATAATAGTAGAAGTAATAGTTTTTTTTAAAATAAAAACAAGAGTTTGTTCTACTGAAAATGCCGTGCTGTATAAACAACCGATATTAGGAATGTATCGTATTACCAGTTGTATGAATTATTAAAAATATGGGATTTTTAATTTTTATAATATAATCATAAATTTAAATAAATAACGGTATTTTAATACGATAAATATGTAGTTGAACGCAATTTTTCTATGTACAAACTAATAACCAAATTTTGAACTTTATTGAAGAGCTCTTTACAATTCAATTTACAATTTCGCCGTTTGCTCATACAGACACTAACCTAATCACTAATATGACCTTAATAAATCACACATATAAAAGCATGTAGAGTGATAAAAGAATACTACAAAATAACACAGTAGATATTATTAATGAACACAACTTTGTCTTGATCCACACGTGCTATGCATGCTGCAAGCTATCTGTTTTGCACACTTGGTGAATGTCCACGGACTGTCGGTAACTACATAATTGTGTTAAGTTCCAACGCATACTTATTTACCTGTCGTTTATTGCCGTCGATGATCGCATTAAGATATCTCACCGAGTTTAGAAATTATATGTAAACCTAACGATTAAATAAAAATAATTAAACAATTAATAACATCACTGTTTATTTTTAAAACCAGGTAATTTAGAACCCGCACTTATGATATATTTTTTAAACGTGCTTTTAATAGATATTTCGTTGAAAATATATAATCTATAATAATTGTTTACTATACAATATATTTTATTGTATTATATAATATATTATAGGTAATAAATATAAAAAATATATTATACCCACATAAAATATGTTCAAAACGATAAACAAAATATATTAAAATACGCTATAAATCTATTATATTTTCCATCTCTATACTTCTTGGAAATTTGAGTCTAGACGAATACAGACAACAAAACGTATACGTTTAATTATATATATTGTATAAAGCAGCAGTTTTGGTTTTTTATTATTTAAGGTAGGTATACCTAATAATATTAAATGTGTGGGGCTCTTGGCCAGCACCGCACGTCCTATGTTATGTCATTATATGTATATTTAACGACGGACGAATGCTTCTCTAAGAACTGATACTGGTTATTATTTTTTCCGAAATAATTATTTTTCAATAAATGGTTTTACTTTAAATCGAACTCTATTAAGCTGTAAAACACACGTTGAACAAAATGTTAAGGTTGCTATTTTCTTTCCTGACAGGATATAATATATACATAATATTATCTAGACCACAAAATGTAACAACGGTCGTCGAACCGAGCCAAGGTTTAATATATTAATAAGTATTTAGTCTTTTTATTGAACCAAACAAGCGTGTCTTTGAGGTTTGCTTCCTTTATTTTCAAAACAAAAAGTAATATGCTTTTGAGATACTTACGATATACAGCAAGGTATAAAAATGATTATTATTGACGATTTAGCTATTCCAAAGTGATCACAACAAGAAGTATGACGTAGGATACGTAGAAATTGTTTTTCGTGGAAACTGTTGGTAGTCTTTTAAGGCCTTAAAGTGCGCATTGACCGCTATTATAATTTATAACCTTGATGTATTTACCCGTCATTTCTACTGCTTCGTTCTAGATAGATTTTCATAAATACCGACTCTTCGGTTAAAAGTACCTATAATTAAATAAAGATAAAAATATAATTGAGTTTTTAGTGTTTATGACGGGCATTAGAATTCAGATACACTATTTAAGGCAATAATTGGTGAACTTAAAACTCTTTGCCAAACAATAAGATTTACGCGTGCTATGTATCCATAGAATAAAAATAAATTCCGCTTTTACCATATGATATAAATAATAACTACATGATGTTATGAATTGTAAAACGTTATCGATGTAATGTTTTAAAGTAATGCACTTATGAATTGTGATATCTGTGCTCTAAGTATAAAATGTAAATAATAAATATAAAAATTACAGGTCGATGATAATGTACCTAATATCAATGGTTTAGAGTACGGATTGAAAAATCTATGTAAAATATTGTTCCTGTAACGAAATATTAAATCATTTAAAAAAACAACTTTGAAATGTTTTTTTTGGACTACTTTTTTTACAAGTTTAAATTCAGTTCATTATCATGCGAGCCTATAACATGCCACGAAAGCCCAACGCTGCCATCATGAGTCGTCA